TGTGTGTGTGTGTGTGTGTGTGTGTGTGTGTGTGTGTGTGTGTGTGTGTGTGTGTGTGAGAGAGAGGTGTGCGTGTGTAATGATCTTGGCACTGACATCATGTGTGTGTGTTGGCAGGCTGGGTTATGTAGATCATGCTGAAGAACTGGCTTCCAGGTTTCTGCAGTGCTTCCCAAAGAAGCGTCTCTCAGCTCAGGCGGCGCTTCATCATGAGTACTTCAGCCATCTGCCCTCCAGACTCTGGGAGCTGCCGGACAGTGAGTCAAACACACACACACACACACACACACACACACACACACACACACACACACACACACACACACACACACACACACACACACACACACACACACACACACACTAACATCATCAAAATCAGCACACACACATATACAGAAAAAACAAACATATATAGATACTCTCACACACACACACACACATAATGACAGTGCTAAAATCAGCACACACACAGAAACAGCATTTTATTATGGTAATTCTTTTTTTCTTTGTACCTCTGAAATGTGAATTTGAAATATTGTATCAACATTTTTGAAACGTATCGACATTTTGGAATATCAAAACACTTATACCTTGTTTCAAAATGTTAATATGTTCCAAAATGTTGGTACAAGGTTCTAAAATGTTGATACACTGTTCCAAAATGTTTACACAATGTTCAAGATGTTGATACAACAAAACAACAGTTATAAATACATAAACAGCAGTAAAACGGTCTCAGAATTATGAGCAACTCCTGTGAATGGATTCAGTTGTTCTGAAACTGAGATTACAATTGTTACAGTGTTGCTCTTTGCTCTTGGAGCGGTTCACTTTCACACTGCAAAGTTTCTAATCAGACCAAAAGAGCTAAAACAAGTCACGTGTGAGTAAACTCTCCTCACATTGATCAGAGTGTCAGGGTTTATTTTGCAGCGTCCCGCTCAGCTGTCAGGAGAGGTGGTGGCTTGGTGGTGATTGACAGGGTGCGCGCGCGATGTGTCTGAGGAGAGATGCGGTGGGGAGGGGTGAGAAGGGTGCGCGACGATGCCTATTTGAGGACCGGGAGGGAGACGCGAGATTACCGGGAGATCATCACTCCTTTGCGGGCATCCGGAGACTCGCGAAACTTCCCGCCCTACTCATAATTCTCTCTTCATATAGCCGTAAGCCTATTACATATTCATAAAACACTGTGATATAACCGCGCTCGGATCGGATCACTTTCTCTCTGCAATCAAACCGCTCCAGGGTTCCTTTCAATCGAGCCGAGACCGACTCACTCAGGCTGTCTCGGAGCGATTACACATATGCCAAATGAACCGCGCTAACTGGGAAAACGAGACAGGTCTCGAAACAAAAGTGTAGGTGTGAAAGCAGCCTAAAAAATGATGTTTGACCAAAAAAAAAAAAAAAAAAAGCATTTTATCATTTCAGAATAAAGCTTGGGCTCAGTAAGATTAAAAAAAACAAAAGCAAACAAATTAATGTTTTTTTTTAAACAAGGATGCCTTAAAACATTTACAGGTATAATATTAATTGTTCTCTACAAAGACTCACAAATTAAAAAAGATAAATGAATTCCACAAAAATGCGAACACAAATAAGCATTATTCAAAATAATGATACAGTGTTTTAAGATGTTGACATGACTTTTTCAAAAATGTTTATAGTGTTTCAAAGTGTTAATACACTGTTTAAAAATGATGATACGTTTCAAGATGTTGATCCAACAAAAAACACCATTTCTTAATAATTAAACAGCAATAAAACTGTCTCAGAATTATAGTAAACATTATGTTTGACAAACAAACTGCACTAATAAGGACAAAAAAAAACTCAATATATCAGCATTTTGTTTTTTCATGATAAAGCTTGGCCTCAGTAAGATAACAAACAAAAAAAATTTATGTTTTTTTTTTCAATTAAGGATGCAAAACATTTACAGGTATAATATTAAATGTTCTCTACAAAGAATCACAGATTTAAAAGGATACATTAATTCCACAAAAATAACCATTATTCAAAATGATGATTTTTTTAAAATCACAAATGCAAAACATTTAAAGGTATAATATTAAACTTGCTCTACAAAGAAGCACAAATTCCACAGAAATGATAACAAAAATAGGTGACGCGGTGGCGCAGTAAGTAGTGCTGTCGCCTCGCAGCAAGAAGGTTGCTGGTTCGAGCCTCAGCCGGGTCAGTTGGCATTTCTGTGTGGAGTTTGCATGTTCTGCTTGTGTTTGTGTGGGTTTCCTCCGGGTGCTCCGGTTTCCACAACAGTCTAAAGACATGCGGTACAGGTGAATTAGGCAGGCTAATTTGTCCACAGTGTATGTATGTAAATGAGTGTGTATGGGTTCCCCTGTGATGGGTTGCGGCTGGAAGGGCATCCACTGCGTAAAACACTTGCTGGATAAGTTGGTGGTTCATTCTGCTGTGACAACCCCAGAATAAAAAAGGAAATGAGCCGAAAAGAAAATGAATGAATGAATGAATGAATTATAAATAATGAAGCAGCAATAACACTGCATCCAGAGAGACAAACAGAGCATTAATAAAGACAAAATTGTTTCTGAAATAATCAGTAGATCAGAATTTTGTCATTTTACAATAAAGTTTGGGCTTAGTAAGATAAAAAAACAAAGAACTTAATGCTTTTAATCGAGGATGCAAAACATTTACAGTTATAATATTAAATGTTCTCTAACTTCCTCTACACAAATCAATTCCACAAAAATGACTGCAAAAATAATGAAGCAATAGCAATAACACTGCCGAAAGAATCACGAGCAACGGTAAAAATGAAGTTTGACTGAAACAAACGGCACTAATAAAGACATAAAACACCATAAATCAGTATATCAGCGTTTCATGAATAAACTGCATTTTAACACTGCGTCTTAATCAAAGCGTGCGCTGAAATGGTAATCGCTGGTTTGTGGTCCCGCAGCAGCAGCAGACGCTCTTTTGTGATGGACGCGTGAGCGAATATGAAACAACAGAATTAATTTCTCCTTCATTCTGGCTCTTCAAAAGCGTCACAGATCCTCCTCCTCCTCTCGCAGAGTCCCGCCTTCAGCCTGCTGTGAGCCGATAACAGGATTAATCTGCCAAATTAAAAACCTCCTTCTCCCATTCAAATCAGTGTTTGTGCAGGAATAAACGCGTCTGCCTGCGGATTATCAATACATGTCATATTATCCACACGAAACGCCTTGAGCTCGTCTAGAAACCCAAACCAGCCATCATCACCAGCGCTGGAAATATGATTTATTAATGTCGTGTAAACTGCGGGATCAGTGCGGGGTGTGCTGAGTTACATGGTAACCATGGTTACGGTAATTAAAATCAAAAGTAAAATTAGAGATTACCTTTACTTCTGTTTACTTGCCTTAAACACTGACGTTAAACATGACTATATACACTTACCGGCCACTTTATTAGGTACACCTATCCAACTGCTTGTTAACTCAAATTTCTAATCAGCCAATCACATGGCTGCAACTCAATGCATTTAGGCATGTGGACAGAGTCAAGACGATCTGCTGCAGTTCAAAGCGAGCATCAGAATGAGGAAGAAAGGGGATTTAAGTGACTTTGAACGTGGCATGGTTGTGGCTGCAGAAACTGCTAATCTACTGGGATTTTCACGCACAACCATCTCTAGGGTTTACAGAGAATTATCTGACAAAGAGGAAATATCCAGTGAGCGGCAGTTCTGTGGGCGCAAATGCCTTGTTGATGCCAGAGGTCAGAGGAGAATGGCCAGACTGGTTCCAGCTGATATAAAGGCAACAGTAACTCAAATAAGCACTCGTTACAACCGAGCTCTGCAGAAGAGCATCTCTGAACACACAACACGGCCAACCTTGAGGCGGATGGGCTACAGCAGCAGAAGAGCACACCGGGTGTTGCTCCTGTCAGCTAAGAACAGGAAACTGAGGCTACAATTCACACAGACTCACCAAAACTGGACAATAGAAGATTGGAGAAACGTTGCTGCTCTGAGTCTCCATTTCTGCTGACACATTCAGATGCTCGAGTCAGAATTTGGCCTCAACAACATGAAAGCATGGATCATCCTGCCTTGTATCAGCGGTTCAGGCTGGTGGTGGTGGTGTAATGGTGTGGGGGGGATTTTCTTTGGGTCCATTAGTACCAATTGAGCATCTCAACGCCACAGCCTACCTGAGTATTGCTGCTGACCATGTCCATCCCTTTATGAGCACAGTGTCTCCATCTTCTGATGGCTACTTCCAGCAGGATAACGCAGCATGTCATAAAGCTCAATCATCTCAGACTGGTTTCTTGAACATGACGATGAGTTCACTGCACTCAAATGGTCTCCACAGTCACCAGAGCTCAATCCAATAGAGCAGCTTTGGGATGTGGTGGAACGGGAGATTGGCATCATGGATGTGCAGCCGACAAATCTGCAGCAACTGTGTGATGCTATCATGACAATATGGAGCAAAATCTCTGAGGAATATTTCCAGCAGCTTGTTGAATCTGTTCCATGAAGGATTAAGGCAGATCTGAAGGCAAAAGGTGTCCAACCCTGTACTAGTAAGGTGTACCTAATAAAGTGGCCGGTGAGTATATAAACAATAAATTTAAATATAAATACATGAATATAACCTGAAATTTAAATATTAAACGGGTTCATTAATCATCCTAGAAATCATAATTGCTTCGACAACTGATATAATAAAACGAAAACCTAACATAGTTTTGTTGGGTAATATTCAGATCTTAGCTGTTATCAATGAAAAATAAATAAATGACTCATCTTGAATGTGTGCATCTGATGTCAGATATTTGTAGCTGTCACACATTTCCCCTTTAGAGAACCACTGCCTCAATTTCATGCCGATTTTCTCATTTCCAGAATTTTTTTATCATTGTTTTGCTGTATCCTCAGGCTGATGGTGTGTGTGTGTGTGTGTGTGTGTGTGTGTGTGTGTGTGTGTGTGTGTGTGTGTGTGTGTGTGTGTGTGTTTGTGTGTTTCAGTGTCTTCAATCTTCACGGTGGCGGGTGTGAAGTTACAGAGTGAATCTGGCGACAGCAGTAAGAGCAACAGCCACGGCAGAGGAACAGCCAACAGCAAACACTGAGACACACACAGGTAAGACACACACTGCTCGTGTGTGTGTGTTGCACGTGTTTCTGTGACATATCAGGACACAAATCTGTATAATGACACAGGGTTGACACGGGTATTTCAAGAAGGTGGTGAAATATGAGGACGTTGCTGATGTAAAGTAAAGTAAAACTGCACAGGTTTACTTTAAGTGTTGGGTTTAATAATAATAATAATAATAATATTAATAATAATAATAATAATAATAATAATAATAATTCCTTACATTTAAATAGCACTTTTCTGGACATTCAAAGCGCTTTACACATTAGAGGAATCTCCTCATCCACCACCAGTGTGCAGCATCCACCAGGTTGATGTGACAGCGGCCATATTGTACCACACCACACACCAGCTGATTGGTGGAGAGGAGACAGAGTGATGAAGCCAGTTATGAAATGGGATGGTTAGAAGGGCCAGTGGGCAAATTTGGTTAAACCCCAACTCTTTTTGAAGGACATACTGGGATTTTTAATAACCACAGAGAGTCAGGACCTCGGTTTAACATCTGAACAATGGCGCTCACTGAGCAGTATAGAGTCCTAATCACTATACTGGGGCATTAGGACCCACATAGACAGCAGGTTGGGCGCCCTCTGCTGGCCTCACTTACACCACTACCAACAGCAACCCAGCTTTCCCATGTTGTCTCCCATCCAGGTACTGACCAGGCTCAGCCCTGCTTAGCTTCAGTGGGCGACCATGTGAGAGTTGCAGAGAGCTAGCTGCTGGTTTAGGGGTGGGGTTAGTGTAAATCAAAATACAACGGAAACCTATGTAATGTCCCCACAATTCACAAAAACAAGCACATGTTAGTGTTTGTATGTAGATTTATACACTAGATGCTGCCCACGCCTATTGTTGTCTATTAGAAGGAATGCGTCAATAGAGGTATTTTCAATAGAGCGCACCTTTGAAATGAATGTGGGACCAAGGTGCAGTGGAGGACTGGCCATCCAGAGCCAGAATATTTAAAGATTAATGCCAATATTGGCCTATATAGCCCATTATCCGTTTCTCCACTGTATAACTTACACATTCTGATTAAAGAGCAACGAATGAATCTCTCATTTATTCATATTATTATATTAATATTATTATATTTATTAATTTTTTTTTATTACATTAAATAAGAGGTGTCACTTTAAAAATGCACACATCTAACGTTATAATGAAAGCATTCGACTGCTTTTCTAACTTTTTATGCTCATTTAGGACGAAATTAGTTGTGTTTGGGAAAAAAACCCACCAAGATCGACATATTTATATGTTATTATTATTAATTATGTGTGTTTGTGTGTTTAAACATGCACCCTAAAGCCAGACTTTCTCTCCGCTTTAAATCGCGTATACAGAATCCGATTGGCAAACAGCGTCTATTTATCACTATGGAGCGCGTCAGCTGACAGTCACGCACTATTATATGACTGGGGGACGGCACCTGTAATCAAAAGGAAATGGAATCGCGGCGTTTATTAATATTTACTTATAAGTGTTTTCATTCCTAAACAGAGCGAAAGCACAGAAGGCTCACGTTTTAGAGCAAGGGGCGACCCCTGGTGGTTCGGCGGTATGGGTTGCGTATAGGGAGGCTCGGCTGTTTTGAGAAAGACTGAAAATACGGGAGAATATACGGGAGGTATTACGGGAAAATACCTTTACGGGATGATAGCGGGATAGAACAGTAAAATACTGGAGAATCCTGGGAAAAACGGGAGGGTTGACAGGTATGATATAGCCTACTCTGTCTACATTATGCACTCATGCACTGGTTATCATTTGAAAACCATTTACTCTCCAAGACTAGGCTTTGTAATGCATTCAGTCACTGTAATCCTTTTCTCTACTTAGTTCTCTAAGTGTGAAAAATAAGAGTTGTTTGGACAAAATTGTGAACCTAGGAGGAAAAATAACAGGGAGAGAACAGATGACCATGGCTCAGTCATACCAGAGACAAGTTTTGAGTAAAGCTCAGAGTAATCTGTCAGTTGATTCCCATCCTGTGCACCATGAGTTTGATCTTCTCCCTTCTGGTATTCGATACAGAACTATTAGTAAAACAAATCGGTTTAGACTTTCATTCATGCCCTCAGCTGTAAAGTTTTTAAAGTTATCTGTATGTGTGACATGCTTGTATGTTGCAACCAAATGGACCCTTCGCTAAGCCCCACCCTCCTTAGTTACTGTTGCTACGCCTGTCAAGCTTTCGTGCCTGGCACTGCTTTTCCAATGTGTGTGCGTCGGTGTCAGACATTGCCAGGGATATAATGTCATTTTGGCGAACAGGTGAGATATCGGAGAAAGCCAGACATAAAAGGACTGCGGTATGCATTACAGGGGTATATTCACCACATAACAGGCAACCGATTAGAGAATAGTTCTATCAAAATTGAAGCTAGCTTAGCCTAGCCGCCTCATACGCTACCCATTGAACAGCTTAGCTCATGCTCAGCAGGAGAGGAGACATTTAAAGATAATCTAAAGATAACTAATTAAACCGGGCGAGGCAGTAGCGCAGTAGGTAGTGCTGTCACCTCACAGCAAGAAGGTCGCTGGTTTGAACCTCGGCTCAGTTGGCGTTTCTGTGTGGAGTTTGCATGTTCTCCCTGCCTTCGCGTGGGTTTCCTCCGTGTGTTCCGGTTTCCCCCACAGTCCAAAGACATGCGGTACAGGTGAATTGGGTAGGCTAAATTGTCCGTAGTGTTTGAGTGTGTGTGTGTGTGTGAATGTGTGTGTGGATGTTTCCCAGAGATGGGTTGCGGCTGGAAGGGCATCCGCTGCGTAAAAACTTGCAGGATAAGTTGGCGGTTCATTCCACAGTGGCGACCCCGGATTAATAAAGGGCAAGAAAATGAATGAATGAATAAATAATTAAACCGTGATTTCCCTTTTAGCCAAAAAATCCTGATGTGTTGTGCAATGAAAAATAGTGTTACTAAGCCACGAGGAAATACGCATGGACAGCTTCTACATTCATTCATTCATAGAAAGAGCAGCCAGAAAGGGGAAACTGATGTATCTGTGCCGAATATTAGCATCATTGACCCATAACAGTGTGCAGTAAGTGACCTATCACTGTCAGTGTGTTTGTGTGCTCTTTATAAATGACTGATAAACAGCTGCGGGTAAAGTATATCGATCACAAGTGCTCAGTTAGTGATCATATCTCGGTTTTCTTCTGTTGATTTGTAATTTCAAATATTTGTAGCTTGAAATAGATGGAGATATGAAGTTCAGTAAACTTAGCAACAGATTCGCAAATTGGTATTTGCCATGTCAATGTATTTGCTCATGTCATTATAACCTATTCGCTATTAGTATGACTAACTTTACTATGGCGAGGGCTTAACTGTAGCACTGCTCATAATATCGAGCGGGAAAAAAGGAAAAAGACCGCTGTGAAACATCACCTGCTTTGTGTTTGTTGTAGGAAGCACAGTTTAGATCTGTTTAGGGTAAGACGTGTGTGAGTTATTGTTGTCTGTTTATCACTGAATGTGTCTGGAATATCAAAACAAAACCAACTTATCTCCGCTCCTTTAGTGCCCCTCACACAGCTTAATCCACGCTGGCATTTCTCCTCCTGGGTTTTAGGTTTTAGGGAGAAAAATTCCACCATCCCGTCTAAACTTTAAGGAGACCGGGTATCAGATTTGCACAAATCATATGCACTCTCTCGAAAGCTTGACAGAGCCCCTGCGCATAGCTACAGTTGCTAAGCCACGATTGGTGGGTGGCGGTTTTTGGGTGTGGCTTATCGAAGGGTCAATTGCCTTTGGGAAATGAATAACGACTGACTGACTGAGTAAGAGACTGTATTATTATCATCAATAACGTTACTTGTTAAGCACAAAAGCTTGTAACATACACAATAGTAAAAAACAAAGTCCTACCTATGAAATGTTGTGCCTTTGTTGTCTTTGTTTGCTCGATACTACACCCATACACAGCGCTAAAGTCCAGCATCTTCACACTGGCTTCAGTCTTGACTAGTGCGGTTGAATGACATCTGTCCTGGGAGCACTGTACAAATATGGTGGCACTGTTGACGCATGCTCAGGGCACATATGTAATATGTAGTGTATATATCTATGGAGTTAGGGTGTTTTTCTGAGCTCAGAGTCCTCTCTATAGACAGCACGCCAAGTACACATGTATTCAGTCAAATATCTGTGAGTGTGAACTGGTGAAAGGGTCCATATGAGCAGCGGTGCAGATGTCTGTATTGCTGATTGATAAAGCAGTGTGTGTGTGTGTGTGTGTGTGTGTGTAATTGGAGCAGTAGATGAGCGTCTCTCCTCATCTGCAGATAAAGCTGATAATGGCTGTAGTGCAGTGATGAGAAACGGGACGGGCCCCGCACTGAGCCCTGCAGGATTAGGGGACAAATTACAGGCAGGTGCAGAGAGAGATTTACTCTGGAGCCATGGGGGGCCGCGGACCCCTGAACCACACACACAATACAGCGCAGACACGCACACACATAGGCACACATATGTACACACAGGAACATACACACACACATATAGGCACACAAGCATACACACAGAAACATAGATGCGCGCGCACACACACACACACACACACACACACACACACACACACATATAGGCACACAAGCATACACACAGAAACATAGATGCACACACACACACACACAGACATGCATATAGGCACACATACACAGACACACATGCATACATACACACACACACATTGGCACACATACATACACACAGGAACATACACACACACATATAGGCACACATGCATACACACAGAAACATACACAGACACATATAGGAACACATGCATATTCACAGAAACATACACACACACATATAGGCACACATGCATACACACAGGAACATGCAAGCGCACACACATACACACAGGAACACACACATAGTGACCAACACATACACACAAAAATATATGCACAGACAGAAACACACACACGCACACATACATACATACACACACAC